CCACCCGCCATGTTACATAAACATGGATCAAATCAATCAATTCTGCTCAATCTGCTCAATCACACATTGGATGGACAAAGGTGACTCAGATCAAAGAGTAATCAAAGTTTACTGTGTATGAGGTAAACTAAGGACAATTCAAAACCAGAAACAATAGTTGTACATTGAAATAGAAGAGGAGCAGCACTCCAATATCTTAGATGTCTTAGCTTCCTAATGTCAGTGAACAGAACGCGCCGTCACTTTTAGATCAATCATTTGGTAAGTTCAGATAAATTATGCAACTTTAACAAATCATATAATAAAGTTTAATGTGCAACAATGCCTGTGCGGGAGTTCGGGTCAAGTTTTCAAGTCTGCACGTTCATTTTCAAGTTCAAGGTGTATGAACATGACAAACACTGGTTGCCTAGTTGTTAAATAGTAGATTAAAGAATATGGCGTTAAACACAAAGTTTAGCGATGTCATCATTATTCAGTGACAGGGTTATTGGTCGTGTTTGGGGGTTAAACACACCGAAGGGGGTCCTTTAAAAAGCAGCAAAGGACGTTATTTGAAAAACTGTGTCGGTAACAAAGTAACATTAGTTAGACTTAATAGATGCTCACGACCCACATCCAGCGGTGGCAGTTTAACATTAGGCAGCCAAACTACACTGTGAAATCGAAATTATGTATATTGAGGCAACGGCTAAATAAAATGCTAGACCTTGACGTTAGGCCTCGAGTTAACGGTTTCAATATAGCCTCAATGGTCGGACATTTTTCTTTTCTTTGCCATGAAGAAGACAACATGAAATAAGAATGATAAAAAACAAATGGAGATTTCCTTTAAACAACAAACGTTTGAATAACATTAATGCTATGAAAGGGGAAAAAAAGGTGTTCCTACCCAGCACGGAAATTGTGGCAAAGTTTCATGAACACAGAGGTTTGCCTTTGGTCTGCTTTATCCTTCAGTACACCTGCTGCTCAGGACGTCCAAATTAGCGCCAATCTCGCGGCGAAAAGGACTCACTTGTTCTATCCATCCCAACAATATCCGCTAGTTTCTGTTTGCCGCTAGCTGAATGTCGTCTCCTGCTGAGCGCTGTGCCGTTAAGCAGGCAAACAAACAAACAAAAACGAGCTGCTGCGTTCCCTCTCCTCCTTGAACAGCGTTACTCCCCCAGCACCTTTAGCCCACTGCTTGCTGATACTAGCTCGTCTCCTGTTGACTTCGCAGAAACGGGCAGGGAGCAGAGCCGAGGACATTTCGTCAGGGCTCGGTGCAGCTTCCTTAAAGGGGCCGCTAGTTTAAATGCTGATTTTGTAATAGGTTACTTCCTAAAACCTTGCTGTTTAATTCAAATCGAGAGGTTGTTTTAAACATATTTTCTATAAAATCAACACAAATAACGAAACTGTAAAATAAATGAACTTTGTCGGTTTCCCCTACTAGATTACGTAGCTTCTTCTGGAAAATATCTTAAGACATTATGTATAAAGATATTACAGGCCAGTGGTTTTAGTTTCCCAAAGGCTAAACAGTCTTTCAAATATCTTTTCACACTTCCAGGAATAAAATTTTACTGAATCCTGGTGGGAAAATCCTGAGCCTAAAATACAGGAATGACCTTAAAAATGTGGAAGTTTGCCACATATCACTCTGTGTTTGACCTATTGTAAAGACTGTTGTGGGTCTAAAATAAGTCAGTGAATTCAAGTAGGTTGAAGAGCTGAAGACTTGTGGTTGAGTAGCAAATAATGGACTTTTCACACACTCAAGCTAAAATTCAGACTGACAAAATATGACTTTTTCAACCGCTGACCTTTGCACGTCTATCATGTCAGTCTGTAAGATTCTCCCCCTCTTCTGCAATTAACAGAAACCTAAGTAAGGCAGTCTTCACTGAAATCCTAGTTATCCTTCTATTTCAGCGGTCATGTTTCTATGGGGCCAAATGGTGTTGAGTTAAGATTCTATTGGCACTCCTCTTGTCACTGCACTTACACTGTGAATAAGTCAAAAGAATGAAAATGAAGAAGGGTGTGAACGGCTGAAGAGTGAAATTGATAGAAAGTGAAAGAAACAAGAGTCATCTGACTCTTAACCCCTGAGATGAGACCATAGATTAAAGGGAAGTAATCACAAGTACTTTTTATGTCTACACTGCAGTCAGACTACAGATGAAGCCAATGAGGATCAGTGTATAGTCTTTGGCATAGTTGTCCTGGGAGTGCAACACTGCCACTTCCTCACTAGCACCAAAATGTACTGTCTGTCAGCAGCCTGCATAAGAACTCAATATATTAGCATGAAAGTGGATCAGACTTCAGCATGTTCCCGGGAATGTTTCCACATTAGTCCAAGTTACTTTCTGTTTCTTACCATCTCCCAGGTGCAGCTTCTGTTGACGAATAGTCAGTGTATATGCAGCCTTTGCTGGTACTGATTATCTTTTTATTTGTGTAGGCAAATGTCTGTGCCACTGGGAGAGAGAACTTTTCATAACCAGTCTGAGTGCATCTGCAGACTTTACACAACATTTAGAGTCCTAGAGAGTGCCCCATAGTATTTTGAATCACTGATCAGACACTATGGAAAGCTTTAAGGAAACTATAAGAGCATGACTCAAGCAAAAATGTGTCGTTAGCACACATTAGAATAATTTGCTATGATTTGGCATTGACATAGCTATTAATGCTCCATGCTACTGAACCTATAACATTGCTGTGCACACTTGACTGAAGTACTGTGTGCTAGCAAGTAGTCTATGACATTATGTGCTTGAATTGATCTTAAATTCCTAGACAACTGTAAACTTCATAAAAATTTCATTAAAGCAGATATAATTAATATTTTATATTGCAATTGATCAAGTTACTACTTGTGACAAACCCACAAAGAATCATCAAACAGCAGTTCTGCTCAGCTTTACAAAGCAGTGTAGCTGTTAGAATCACTCACCCATTGGGGTGGGGGGCAAGTGAGCGAATAAAGAACGGACCCAGATGGCTGACTTCGGTGCAAGAGTATTTAATGGGTGCTATACAGTATATACACAAGTGCAGGTGGAATGACACTAGAAAATGGAAAGTACTGTCTATGGAACCGGGTGCCGACCAGCACAGTGGCAGTCACTATTGGATAGGAGAGTCAATGGGCTGAGCTGCGGAAACAAAGGGGGGTCACTCACTGGCTGGCCGGTGGAGGTGGACACAGGCTGAGGAGATGGAGCAGAAGACGGTGGTGAGTAGAGGCAGTTTTGAAAGACTGCGCATCGACCTGGCCTGGTGGAGGCTGGATGGGCAATGAGGCGTATGGTCTGAGAAAAGGCTGCCCATGGCTTCAGTGGTTAGGAGGAACGAGATAAGAGGGCGAGAAACTGGGGGGAAAACGTAAAGTCCAGAATAATAATTATAGGAATACAAAGACGAGAGGGAACAAAATGAAGCTGGTTGTCGGTTTTGGATTCAACCGGTTCTTTTATCTGAAGGCCCCAAGAAGTAACACTCAGGAAACAGGAATCAGCTTTACGTAGATTTATTTTCTTCTGGTTAAATGCAGAGTTATTACAGCGCTGGGCTCTAAGAGATGACAAGTCTCCAAGAGCTCTGATAATAGGATGTAATTCACATATATCTTCTCGGGCTGGGACTGCCCTGTACATGAGTGGAAACTCATATTATCTTCTAATCTGTTGACTCAGCACTCACAAAATGAACTGGACACAAGGTTCATATAGATATGAACTCATATTATCTTCTAATCTGTTGGCTCTATACTTACAACATGAACTGGACACAAGGTTCATGCAAATCTTCTAGAATGTTCGAATAAGCAGCGTGTGTGTGTGTGTGTGTGTGTTGGTATTTTCAGGCATTTCTGAAAGTAGACATGCAGTTAGCATCTTATCTATAGTTTTCAGGATGACACTTATCTCTGCAATCAATTTATGCACATTTCACCAAGAAGACAAGAAATACTACAAGTTGTCTCAAAACTGAATATTATAACTATAATGCATGCATAAGAGCTGGTTAATACTGATACATGGAGCTGTTAATGAAACACAAATAGTCATATTGAACTTTTCCATTATAAAAGCAAAATAATACTGATAAGTAGAAAAATAACTTTAACTCCTGAAATCCAATCCTAACAGTCAGCTAGAGAGCAAAGACGAACTGGCAAGGTGTGTGAGCTGGGCCTAAGCAGGGTGAAGGACTAAGTGGATGCAGCTGGTGTTGATTACAGAATGTGTAGAATGTGTGCAATGTGGAGTGAAGCGAAACAGATGAAGCAAGAAAGGGAGGTGAGAGAGGCAGGTGCAGCTGAGCAAACCTGATAGCATTCTTCAGCTCACTGATTTGGTTCTACTACTACCAATGTTTTGTTTTATTCTCATGGCAATGCACACAGTTGTTTTCAGAAAGAAAAAGAACCCCTCTGTTCCCCAAACTAAATGGCAGCCAGGTGAAGGTAAAGCTATTCATACTGTAAACAGCTTTTTGATATCTTTTACGTTTTTTGCATAATTATTGTTTACATTTTATGTCTTATTTCAATAGCCACATTCTAGTATTTCTCAATGTGTAGGACTACTTTCTTTTTGAAAGTCTTTGAAGTTGTTCTGGAAGAACAGGGTGTCAAGATCGGCATGTAAAGCTGCCAATGATGTTGAGGATGAACTCAATTAGAAGGCCAGATGAGTAAAAACAGAATACTGTCTTTTTAATCCATGCACTGGGCAGGCACCAACAATACAGGAGTCTGATTCAGCAAGTAACAGTCTCAGATCGATTGATGGACTGGATGTCCAGGGTCAGAGCCAGCAAACTCATACATCCAAGATATCAATGAGAGGCACAGTCAGAAAGGTAAGTCCAAAGGTCGGTACACAGAATACAATCAGAGTCAGAGGGGTTAGGCAGTACTTGGTAGTTACAAGGCAATCTGGGGTCAGCGCTGGAAAAACAGGCACAAGAAAAAACATTGGATAGTCTGAACATGAGTTAGAACAATCGGGCAGCTTCCTGGTGTGAGGAAGCTGCCTATATAGGGGTGAACACCTATAGGGGTGAGACCGGAAGCAGGCGGAACAGAATCATGACGGTGTGAAATGAAACTTTTAGCTAAAACAATTAAAACAATAACTTTATAATAACAATACCTTTGTAATTCATTGTCCATTTTGCATCGAAGCTTAGTGACATGTGCACAATCATTCTGTTCTTCTCAACCTTCAACTTTTTCAACAAAGAACTTTAGCCATTTCTTCTCATCATTCAGCTTTTTCAGCAATTGATTTCAGGCATTTTCAGGGCGATCCATCATCTACACTGTAATATTTGAGTCATATGAACTTAAGTTTCTTTTCCTATTTTTTCTTCCTTACTTATATGTATCACTATTGCATTGATTGTTAGGATCCGTTCACACCAGTCAGTGTGCGAACGAGGAAAGAGGCAGACCCAGGTAGCCGGCTTCGGTGCATACAGTGATTTATTATGTACAGTGAACAAGGGAATGACAAAAACACAGAGGGAAATGATATGTAGTCCTGTAGATGAGTAATAACCGGGTGTTTGACCAACCGCAGGAGGTGAGGAGATGGAGAGCTGGGCCGAGCTGCGTAGGTGGGGGTCACTCCTGGGCTGGTCGACAGTGATGGTGGTTACTGAAGGTAGAGACAGAGAGATGAAGGCAATTGTGGAACAGATAGGCGACTGTGCCTTGACCTGCCTGGGAGGAGAGGGTGGAGCCACGGTCTGGAGGAACAGTCCTTCGGGGAAACACAAAACAGGAGCTGGCAAGGGGATAAATACATACAAAAACAATGACAACGCACAGAGTAAAGTTGGCCTAGTGACTAGAAAGAACTGGCAAGTGACTGAGGAGTGAAACCGGGTAATATAGTGAGTGACCTAATCAAGTGCAGCTGGTGATAAGGGAGTGAGGAACAGGTGAATGTGATAAGAGTAATGGGGCAAGAGACAGTAGGAAAGGTGAGGGAGGTAGAGCAGCCGAGCAAACCTGACATTGATGACTGTTAAAACTGCTTAGTATCTCCTGTTTGTCTGTTAAAAGAGTGTATCTGTAGTTATGTCTGCACTTTGAAGTTGACTAAATGTCCGGTGGGCAGCACGGTGGCGCGGTGGGTAGCACCATTGCCTCACAGCGAGGAAGGTTGCAGGTTTGTGACCTTTCTGTGCGGAGTTTGCATGTTCTCCTCGTGCTTGAGTGGGTTCTCTCTGGGTACTCCAGCTTCCTCCCACAGTCCAAAGATGTGCGACTTAGGTTGATTGGTGTCCCTAAATTGCCCGTAGGAGTGACTGTGTGCAAGTGAGTGGTTGTTCATCTGCGTGTTGGCCCTGCAATGGACTGGCGACCTGTCCAGGGTGTACCCTGCCTTTGCCTGATTGCTGGCTGGGATTGGCTCCCTCCCCCCGCGACCCTGTTTGGGACTGAGTGGTGTAGAAGATGAATGAATAAATGTCCGGTATTTACTGTTCGTTTATTAGGGTTTTTATAGATAGGGGCGCCCTCCCCCCGCGACCCTGTTTGGGACTGAGTGGTGTAGAAGATGAATGAATAAATGTCCGGTATTTACTGTTCGTTTATTAGGGTTTTTATAGATAGGGTGTCTGCCCTTTGAAGATGACCAGATGTTCGCGTTTTGTTAGCTGCTGCCTGACATCACAACACTCCCACAGACCATTTGATTTGCATATTGGGTAGCTGATGTGAGCAGAGGTTGGCCTGCTCACGCCTATGGCCAATAGTGTTAGGATACATGTAAGTCCAACCTCTGTCCGGGGCGGTTCCTGCCCACAAAGATAAATGGAACAACAGACAATAGTCTGGCGCTCATTGATGATAGGGTTCTGCGGAAGTCCTGCCACGCTGAGCCCAGCACTGTACTGTTAAATTTTCTGTTGACTTTATACAGTCCTCTTCTGTCTTCACTTCTCAGGCTTTCAATTAAAGAATTGGATCTAACAACACGCATTTTTGACAGGAAATGCATTTCTCTAGTTTTCATTGAAATCAGGACAAACTAATTGAACATTTGGCATTTATCATGAAAATATTTGATTTGATATGGGATCAGTCAAAAATTTCTTATTCTTTCAAATGACATGATCATTTTCAAGGCATCATTTGATAAGCTGTTGACACGAACAGGCCTATTATCTCATTCGAGCTATTTCAGAACCAGGTGCTGTAGCACTGGAAATGACCATACAAAACCAGATCAGTAAAAACTGCAAGCTCCAATCAAAAACCACTCAGGGTTTGTGTAGTCATTAGCGATTGTGGAGCAAAAAAGGAGTGCTCGGGACTCTCCTTAGTCACACTTAATGCACACACAAATCCACACACACAATTTGTTTCTGGCCTGTGATCCTCATCAAATGTCTTCTAGCAAAAGTACTGCTGTTGAGATTTCCCAAATCCTCTCTTTGCACTCATTTAGAAACCCTGTAATAAACCTTTTAATCCATCACTAGCATTTTCTAGAAGGTTACACAACCACACTGTCTTAAATACTGGGAAGGAAGGGGAGGGTGAATGACACTGCTGATGCAAAATATGTTTAAATAAGATGGTTTATTAAACATTTAACCTAAATTAAAACCTTCACACTACATGGTCCATTACCTATGTAGCATTAAGTCAACACTGCTTAGATTAATTGTAATCATAACTTTATCCTTGAAGTCAGCCTTCACTGTAGACTCATTTAAATGAAACCTCACCTTAACTAAAACCCATGCCTTATTGTTAAAAATGGATGTATATGTTAAAATATATTCTTATAAAATAAAAAGGGTTATAAAAGGGTTGCCCATATCAAGTTTGAGGTGGTAATTATTTTCTGATACATTAGACACAAATCAAAAGGTGGTGCAGGTAGACTCCTGCATGTTTTAAATTAATCTGAGGTAAATGGTCTTATACTTATATAACGCCTTTTTATGCATTGAAGCACACTCAAGTCTTTAGCTTTTCCACCAGTAGATGGCACAGGTGCATCAGTCATCCTCTCTCCTCCTGCCTGAACACAGTTCAGTATGCCAACTGAAGTTCTCATGAGTCTAAATTATTTAGCTTGCCTGGCTGTGATGGAGCAGAGATAAAGGCAAGAACAGAGGGTGATTCTGATAGACCTAGTTACCGGTGCCTACATAGCTCCTCAGGTTTCAAGTTGAAGGAATCAAAACCACCTGACAAAACAATACCTATTTTGACACATTTATTACTGATATGAAGCTAATGTAATGTAATATTACAGAGAAGATGTGGACTGCAGAGTCTGCCTACTGTAGACTGCTTCATTATTGTGATGACAAGTCCTACCATTAGTCATAGTTTGACATACTACCTGTGCTCCAATTCCTTACTTCATCTATGCACCATATTACACCTGAGGGAGGGACTGGCGTCAGTCGCCATAACAACTAAGCGCCCAAAAGGCTGAAACCCGACTCTCCCATCTAACCTTTCACTCTGCCTGTTCACAATACTTTACTTGGCAATACCCGGTGGCAGTAGGCTTTATGTGTTTTGACATGATATCTAACTTTCCAAAACCCATTACATCAGTGACATGAGTATGCCTAGCTTATCTATGTGAAGAAACAGAGAGAAAAGAGAGGAATCATATGCCTTGTGGTGATATATGTCACTTACATCTCCCCCAAAAGGGTGTTTGTGGTGCTATCTAACCTCAGCAGCCTTTTACCTTTCCTGGCTCTTTGATCTACTGCCAGCTAAGCACATGTCCCCTAATCTGGTACATATGGTTAAAGACAAATTCCTACAGATAAACTTTAAAGTGAGGGGCTGCATATAAACAGCTTAGATTGGAATGTCAGAACAAAGTGTTGGGTTGTGAGCTGAGCTTAGCTGTGGAAGAATATAAATAATGTTTCAGTTTAGTATCAAGCACAACAGCCATGCGCAATATACTGACATACTCAGTAGTCTGACTATCACACTGATAGTCAGTCAGACACTGATCGTTAAGCACAAGATAGACTGAAACAGTAGGACTACCCTCCTTTCACAATACCCTCTATAAACAACATCTCCATCACCTGTTTGGAAACAGTCATCTTTGTTGGATTCCTTCCAGCTTTCTGTATTTTTATCTGTCCCTCCATCCTCCTGTTATATCGACGGTATTATTTTTACCCACTGTGATAATAGGATTACTTTATCATGTAAAATATCTAGCTGTATACAGAAGTTGATTCAAATATAAGTAAATTCCGTTTTGTGCATGGAAATACACTTAATGAGAGCTATTACAGTACACTTTTGTTGTTTGTATGGTTTTTCAGCTGACCTCCACGCTCTACAACCTAGCCAGAGGCACACATTCAAATACACTGCCTGGCCACTTTATTAGGTATACTTGTAAAATTGCATGCAATTCAATTCTGTGTTCATTATTGAGGTCATAATGTGGTCCAGTACAATGCCACCTTTAACTATGACCTCAGTAATAAACATATCATTGGATTTACACATTTATGACAATTTCACTAAAAACTGAAACATTTTGAGCTTCACATGCTATGGCAGACATGTAGCATTGAAATGCATACAATTGTACAGGTGGGACTATTAAAATGGCTGGGTGGTGTATAAAAATATTCAAATCTCTCAATTAAAACAAGTTCTCTAAATCTGGTAAAGGATTGTGTCTTAATGTTGACTTCCATCTCTCAGGGCAGGAAACTCAGGAAATAATGTATACAGTAATATACCCTAATACACTTAACACACAAGTGAGTACCTTCTCAAAATCAATCAAGTAAGTAAGTGTCTAATAATTTCAGTTACTCATCGCTGGCTGGATCCAAAAAGGTTGATGTTAACTAACCTTTCCTGACTAGTGTACATATGTTGACTAGACACGCTTCCTTCCAGCCAAAGACATGTAAGAGGCTGCACAAGGCGGTTAAAAACTCATGTCATCTTTATTTTTATAGTCACAATCATCTTTTCTTTCCAGTGTTTTGAAACCATAAAAAATAAATATACAATGTTACAAAATATTTCCAGTGTCTCAGATCAATAATAAAAAAGGACATTGATAAAAGGGGGGTAAAACACTGGGGTGGACAGTATGTATTGTACAAAGGTATACAGTGAATTTACATGAAGTTGCCTTATATTAGCTGCAAAATGCATTAGAGTTGGAATCATTTCCACTTTAAACTCAGATTCAGTAATTCAACAGTGATAAAGCATACAAAAAAACAAACAAACATGAAATCAATCTTCTAATTCTGTGTTGACTTTATACCACCATTATGTCTTTTTCAGATGTTTTGGGATGAAACTGAGTTGAAAGTGTGAAAGTGAACTGACCCCAACCCTCCTCTGCACATTTAATGTTTTTCATGGCTTTGATATCCAGAGTTGTACTGGATAAACAGAAGAAGGTTAAAACTGAAGAAAGGCTTCAGGTTCATAGTGCTCAATCAGGGTTTCTGGCAGAGGAGGCATTCCTCTGCATTTCACATAATCAGTGTTCATTTAGGCCCACTGTTCTGTGCATGCATGTACTGTGGACATTCTAGGCAACACATGCAACAGCAACAGTCTTGCATTTATTGTGTGTGTATATGTATCTTTAGCAAAATATGCTACCAGAGAGCGTGGTGAATTGTATTTGTGTATGTTAATGTGTGTGTGTGTGTGTGTGTGTGTGCATGTGGAAGGCCTCAATCCAGAAAGAAGGCACAAAGATTACTGTTGTCATTAAACTAGCATATCAGGTGATTTTCACAATATGAAGTGTTCCAAACACAGGCAAAAGATTTTTAATTTCGAAACGTTTCCATTCTACAGCTGAAATAGAAAATTGGTGATTTCTTCTTCACCTTTAACAATATCTACACATTAATTACATTCTTAAATGCACTGCATTGAGAAGCTGGGAACGCCTGTCTCTAGAGGTAAAAAAAGAAAAGATGAGACTGTACCAGCATGTATGGATTTATGCACAGTGATTATGCGTCTGTCTTTCTCCATGAGAAAAAGGCTGTCTGAAAAAGTTGTCTAGCCTTCCTTAGTTTACCCATCTATTGGGAAAAATGACATGACCCCTCATAGACTGCTCTTACAGTCATTTTGGGGCTTGCAGTGCATTCTGGAGGGATTCTGCATCTCATTCTGTGTCTCCAATTCCTTTATTGGTTTTGGCACAAATATGTAGCTCCATTTCATCCCCTCTTTGTACACTCCAATACAGCATCCCTTTTATTATTGCTCCCATCTGTTCCTTATCACTGCTTATTTTCTTGTCTCAGGCAGTCTTAAAGTCTGCATTTAATACTGCTCTCCAGAGAGAGAGAGAACATGAGAGGAGGGATGGATGGACAGATCAGGCATGGAGAACATTTCCCTATTTCAACCAATCTTTGACACCCCTCCATTTTCTTCTTCTTTATTTTATTTTATTCCCCTCCTCTTGGCTCTCTTCCTTTCCTCTCCTCCTTCTGCAGCTTCGCTCCTTCTCTCACAAGGGCAGGCTGGTCTGGGTTTTCCTAACAGGGATCAGATCGAAGGTCAGATGGAAGTCTCGTTACTGCCACTGTTAACAGAAAAAAATGAAGGGAAGGAGAGAAGAAGAGGGCGAGAGGATGCATAGAGGCAGAGTTCAAGGAGAACGAAAGAAAGAGGACAACATGCAATGTAAAAATGGATGCAGGAAGTAAACATGCAGCAGGATGATATTTCATGCTGTTGTTTGGGGAATAGTAAGACATTTTGTGAAGTGTGATTATTCCATTTCTTGCCAAGAGGAAGATGAGAAGATTGGTACGACTCATATTTTGTTACCTTAGTTACACTTAGACACAGACAGGCCAGCTGTTCCCCCCTCTCTCCAGTCTGTGTGCTAAAGCTAAGCTAATCCCCCGCTGGCGTTACCTTCGTATTTAGTATATGGGTATAGGAATGCTATCAATCTTCTTATTCAAACTTAGCTTGAAAGCATATTTCTCAAAATATTTAACTCCTTTAATTTTTTTCTGTGTTGAAAAGGCTGAAAAGACTACAAACTCTGATTGATTTTAAATCATTTTAAAAGTGGTTCACATTACATGATTAAATGACAAGGACTCATTTTTAATACAGCATTCATTCAATAGCTCTACTGATTTAACATTATTAATAGTGATCTTTTGACTAGTATAAAGAATGATGCAAAATAAGAAAACAGTGACACTGTTACATGCCGACTCTCAAACAAAGACTACTCACTCAGAGTCAGACTCGTTGCCTCCGTTGACTGTCCGTGACTTCAAGAGCATTGCCACTCCCCCGTTGACCTCCCGATAGATTCCCTGGGGTGGGGACCCAACAGGGATTTGTGGCTGTGAGGTGATGGGTGGCTTGATGAGGGAGCTGGTTTCATGGTTGCCTGGGCGACCTCCATCAGCAGAGGTCAGCGAGGGTGGCCGGGAAGAAGGGGTCATGATGTTGACAGAGGGAAGAGGTGAGGAAGAGGTGTTGTTGTTGGGGCCAGGGGAGGTGATGGTGGGGGTGTGGTAATCGCTCAGCTTCTCCCTCAAACGGTTCTTCATGTTCTTGTCGGTCAGGGGAGGAGGGTAGCTGATCTTGTTCTTTAAGATACCTGAGACAGGAAAAACAGTTAATTTAGTGTAAATAAGATCTGTCCTTTCATTCTACTTAATTCAAATGACTTCTACACTCTTACCTTTTCTCTGCTCCGGTTGGTGGTTGCTGTTGGGCTGGCTAGAAGGTGCTGTGTCTTTAGTATTAGGCATCTGTTTGTCTCTCTCCTGGAGTGTCTCCCTCTCTTGTTCATCAATGTGGTTGAGCTTATTTTCTGGGTGCAGTTCCACGTTCACCTTGGTTTCCACCCTCAGTCGGTCTGGCCCACCAGGATCCTCACTGTCACTGGCTGTGGTGGCCTCTGTTGGCCAATAAGGCTTCACATGATTTGACAATGAATCCACTAGTAGTGGGAAAAGGAGACAAAATTTTAGTCCAATTTTGTATAGTTATTTTTCAAAATATTTCCCTCACATATCCAAACTGCTTACTTTTTGTTGCATATTTCCAAATTTGTTTGCTATGTTACAACAGCTTTATTTCAGAACTGCACCACAATGTGGCACCCTCTGCCAAATGTAACATTTTAATGGGGGCTGTACATCCAATCCCTGCAGTGCTGGTGCACATCATGTCCAGTGGTGGATTCAAATACTTTATTTGTCATGACCCTGCCCCGTCAGCTTCCGGTCCTGCTTTTATTCTGATACCACTTCCTGTCCCCAGCTCACCCTAACTCCCGGTAACTTCATCTCATCATGCACATTGGTTTCACCTGCCCCTTAATCACTAACACCTGCTCACAACAGTATTTAGCAGCTCCTCACGCTGTAGAGTTGCCAGATTGTTTTATGCCCTGTCTAGACTCTCCAGCATTAATTTCCAGTGACTGCTATCCTGATACCGAACCCCTGCCTGCTCTACCGACCCGTGATCCAGCCTCCTCCCTCTTGCCTGACTGCTATCCTGAGATTGACACCTTGCCTGTTCTATCGACCTATGATTCTGCCTTGCCTTCCCTGCTGCCCTGCTGGAGATTTCGAACACAGACTGAACTAAGTACTGCTCTCTGCCTGATCCCTCAAGACTGTGTGTGTTCACGTCTAACTTACAGAAAGACGTTAAACCCTGTTCTGTTGCCTCAGCTTTCTGGCTCTTTAATTGGGTTCACACCTCCACCTTCACGGGAGCTTCACGCACCCCTCCCTGACAGTACAATCTGGCCAAGAATGAACCCAGCCAGTAGTGATCTACGTGAGTGGCAGGAACGCCTTCTATGGAGAATTAACAGACTGAAAGACGCGCTCACAGCATACGACCGGCCCAGACACCTGCAAGCACTAATGGATCTGGTAACCAGAATAGACGGCCGATTCAGAGAGACAAGCGGAACGGAGACAACACCAGATGCCCCCCCAGGATTTTGCCCGGATGTCGACTGAGCCCCCAAACCATTGCAACTGGGTCACTCCTGACTTTACCCGGAGAAGAGAGAACGCAGATTTAGGCTGAACTTATGCCTATACTGTGGGGAACCCGGCCATCGGGCATTGCTCTGTCCAGCAAAAGGCAGAGGCTCAGCAGGACAGGGAGGACGTTGCTGAGCCAAGAAACAATGAACACACCTGCCTCCCGTCCCATAATTTTGGCCCAGCTCTCCTATGGCACCAAGACCATTCCTGTCTCCGTCTTCATCTACTCCAGTTCCGACGCCAGCTTCATCGACCCAGTGTTCCTTTGTCAGCACCAGATCCCCAGCAAACCCGTGAGTAACCCGCTCCTGATTCATTCTCTTAACAACAAGCTCCTGCAACGTGTCACTAGCCACACACCTCCGCTAACCCTCTCTATTGACAATCACAGGGAAACGACTGACTTTCTGGTAATGCAGTCCCCACATCATCCTGTAGTTTTGGGCTTTCCTTGGCTAGTGAGACACGGAGCCAAGATTGCGTGGGCCACTGGAAAGATAGTCGAGTGGTCACCGCAATGTGCCACCCAGTGTCTGCACTCAGCTACCATCCAGGGGGTGGAGGCAGAGCCGGTGCCAGACACGTTCCCTGACTTATTCAAGGTCCCACCTGAGTACTTGGACCTCAAGCAGGTATTCAACAAGGCTCGAGCTACAATGCTACCCCCCCCCATCGACCATATGATTGTCCCATTGAACTGCAGCCTGGGACTACGACATGGGGCCCAGATCTTCACTAAGTTGGACTTGTGCGTATAAGGGAGGGGGAAAGCGGAATACTGCTTTCAACACACCGTCAGGCCATTTCAAACATCTAGTCATGGCCTTCGGACTCACTAACGCCCCTGCTGTGTTCCAGAACCTGGTCAATGATGTGTTAGGGGATATGCTGAATAAATTTGTCTTTGTATATCTAGACAATATTCTCTGTCATGACCCTGCCCCGTCAGCTTCCGGTCCTGCTTTTATTCTGACACCACTTCCTGTCCCCCTTCACCGGAGCTTCACACACCCCTCCCTGACATTATTTAAAAATCACTAAGAATATCACACAGTGGAAAAACCCCAGCACAAGTCCTATACTGAAAATGTCATGTGCACAAAGCAAAAGTTGTATATAGTATAAGAAAAATGTCTTAAAAGTAAAAGTTTATATAATGCAGAAAAATGGCCCCCGTATGTGGATTATTTTTAATGATGCAGTGTTTTAGCTATACCAATGCAGCTTCTCAAAGCTAATTTCAACTATCAACCAATTTTATATTCTGTATGTAAAATTTTAATCTGAAAAGAATCTAGAAACTATAGCTGTTTACAAACCACCAATGATTGCGCTTAATTTTTATGCCCGATAGGACCGCACATACCCTTAGGTGTGCTGTGAACAGGCTGCCTCTCGTTGTTCCACTTGGGCTTGACGTCGATGTCATCGTCCCCACTGTCAGAAGAGTGGGAGGAGGCGTAGGAGGAGCTGTGTTCATCAACTGACAGCTCACTGTCGGAGTCAGAGTCTGATGGGGACAAGGAGGAAGGAACACATAGTATGTGTTAATAAAATATTCGGAATTATGCAAGTAACTGAGAAACTTATTTAAAAGTTGATGCATGAAAAACTAACTCACCATCTGCTTTGGTACTGTTTCTGTGGAACAGAGGTCCATCCAGATCTGTGTGTCCTTTAGCTATTCCTGAAGAGACACTGGGCTTCAGACCAGACTCGTTTCTACACAGATAAAGACAGAGGAAACACAGGGTGGTGAGAGAGAAATGAGAATGAAAATTCAGAGGTAAAGATAAAGAGGAGACAGAAGGGGAAGTACAGTATCACTGGGAATTAAATCAAGCCCCAACTTGAGGTTTGAGACACCTAATGCACAACCAGACATCTCTCATTACAAAACATTTGCCCCTGTTGATGGCTACAATAAAAACCACAATGAATAATAAAATGTGGTTTAGGTTCTGTAGCTGTGCTTGCAGTGTCATGTCAATAAACTGCCTGCTTGGTCATTGGTAAATAAAAAAACATCTAGCACTAATGGATAAATGGAGGCTAACTGAAGACTCATTGTTATATGTTTACGGTATAAATATTTATGAGCTCCAATTCCAACATGCTCTACAAAAAATTACATTATGAAAGTTGCAGCAGTTTTTGGCATTTATAATCTCCTTCTTTAATTTGTTGCATTTTTTTTTATTACAAAATTTGATAAATGGATGGGTCACCCAGTTGCCCATTCTTCTATCTCCTCTCCACTTGTAGCTATTTATTCTAGGTTGGATTCAGATGTTGGCTAGAGGGCAAAAATGCTATTTGACTCTGACCTGTCTGATGGCTGATCTAAGAGAAGCTTTTGGAAGTAGCTGAAAACATGCCAACAGTTGCAGGGAAGACGTATGTGTGTCTGTATTATATTCCACCTTCAACAGGTACAATCTCAGTCTCCCTCCTTTCTTAGCTCCCCTGCCCTCCCATCTCTCTCCTGCCTTTTCCTATTTCTCTTGCAGCTTGCAACATTGCTACCCCCTAGCATTTTTCCTTCCATTAACCCTAGTTTCAGCTCATATTACCCAGATGACAGCTTTACAAGCTGAGGCATACAGTCTGACCTTACGCCAATTCTGTAAAACTCTTTAAAGCACCAGGTATATGTAACACCGCTCAGCCATGAAAACGTGTCTATGATACACTGAAAATACCCCGGTGTACAAGATATACAGGGGAAATTAGTTTAGAATGAAAAGTGTATGTCCTGGGACAAATATATTTCTAAATGTAAACTTTTTTTGAGAAACCTCTCCTGTTACAAAATGTAGACTCAGTTCAACAGGTAGCACAGTTAATAAGAAAGCAAAAAAAGGCAAGTACAGTAGATTTCACACACAGTAAAATAATCTTGCTATGCCATATTTAAACTGAGTAGCAGAAGATTTTGCTGTATTGCCCAACACTTTTTCTAAGATCTGAAATGTGAAATAAGTCTATTAGTTAGTGACTGTTGCTAAAAAATATGGGTAGTAGACAACCACATATTGCTAAAATATTGCTGCTTCTAGCAGTTAATAGCTACAGCATGGAGCAGTGGACACAGTGCTACTGTATACACAATTAATCTCTTGAATGCTAACAATGACCTTAAATTTTTTTGGAATTAAAAACTAGTTATAAAAAGACTGCAAGACATTGCCATGCACAGTATGTACCAGTACTGTACATGTAATCAGTTTCTAGTTTTCTTGGTAAAACTAGCTAATTGGATAAATTAGCTTTAGCTACCTACCTATAACTAATGAGGTTTAATACATATTTTTGTTACTAAATCCAAAATTAATTCAAGAGCTGTTATAAGTGTATACTCTAGTAGTTTAAATGGTGTATGCTGAATAGAATGGAGCAGTGGATACAGCAGTGGTAGGCTATGTTCCAACATATACTGAGAATAGATAAAATACAGTTTATGTAGTATATTTATTTAACCTCTTAAACTCTGATAATGGGCTTAAAGCTACTGGAAATGTAATGTATTAGTTTTGGCTTGGTATATCTAGTTATATATAGCTAAAACTATGAGCTACAGTAAAACTACCCACTACTTATAACAATGCAGTGTAATAAAACAGCCTGCAATAAATCCTACCTTCATGAAAGTTTTTTATTTTTTGTCATTTTTGTCATTGTCTTTTCTTGAAATTGTTTTGAATGCATATTACAGTAGGTATCTGTCTAGCTCTGACGCCTTATCACATTAACATTATATTATCCAAATGTACAGTATGCCTATTTCAAAGTACTCTGAAAGTTTGATCTCATTTTACTATTCTTGCACATATTTTAGTCTTTCAGTGTTATACAGTACAATGTATCAAGTCAAATTTCAAATTAACAAAGCTAGTTTTTTAATCTGTCAATACATAAAACACACAAAATAACAGTATGTATCAGTAGTGTGGATGACTCTACAGTAAATACTGTACGCCTTTGCCCTGCTTTCCATGAGAGTTGCAGTGTAAGTGCCTATGTGGGGTTTTGCTTCAAAGCCATGTCCATGTGCCAGCAAATCTCAGCCTGGCCTTCCATATGAATGGAATTACTGTACCATGCAGGTGCCATTATGTGGCAGAAAGCATGTGTGGAAGAAAAGAGAGAAACACCCTGCAAATACAGAGAAACTCATCAGTTAAACATACGGTATCCTTGCTTTGAAAAAGGCAGAAAATACAGGCAGGGTCACATTTTGTGTATAAATTTATGGAGCTTGCGTTGTGTTATTATGCGAGTCATTTGATGCATTAGTAGGTATGCAGGCAGTACAAAGAAATCACTGTAAGTTAAGGCCAAAGAAACTGAACGGACAAACAGAGACACACTTCTTGCAGCAACATAGTAGAAGCAGCCATGCAGTGAGTTAGCATGTGGTACCTGAGTGTGTAAGCCAGGTGGCTGTTGCAGCTCTTGGCTGACCTGAGTGTGCTATCCAGGGAGACGGTGGACTCTCCGATGCCTGAGCGGTACAGCGGACCATCTTCTGTGTATGTGTTGTTGCAGTTTAGAGAGCGCTGAGGATGGAGGGATTAAAGGATGGAGAGAAAAAAATGACTGATACTTCACAAACATTTTTAATTACCCTTTTAAACAAACTGTCACTGACACCATAAAGAAATGTGGCAAATGAATGCCAAAATGTAAATTAACTGTGTATATGGGAATATATAGTGCATCTGTTCACACTCACTGTGAGCAGAGACGCCCTTGTAGTGCCTGATTCATCAGGTGTGCTTTTTTTTCCTGTGAAAATGTTCTTGAGGTTTTTCCTCGCCTCTTTGTTGAAGATTACATGGAAGAAGAAGATGAAGACTCCCTTTGAAGACAGCAAAAAAAGTCTGTTTAATCATAGTGAGGTAAGGTTAAACCTAAAATCTAAGCTGGCACTGACAGCAATGGCAGCCTTGGTTACTCGTGCTCTTTTGTGTTTGTTGTTTTTCTTTGTTATCTCAGTCTTTTGCAACCCATCCCGGATTACTTTTACCAGAGAAGAACTGTTGAATATCGGACAACTCACACCGAACTACCGTTCTCCTATTTGTGTGAACGAAGAATGCTGTATGAACAATGTGATCGGAGGCGCAGCTGCAATCTATGGAATCTGGAAGAAACGCCGGCGTGGCAAACGAGCAGGCGCCTTACTGAGGCTATGCCAGAGGGGGACCCGGAACCATTCCCGTCTATCCACCTAGCAAATCTCTGTTCCCTGGTCAACAAGATGGATGAATTCTTCTCATCGACAGGGCTAACTCTGACTTTGCACGCTCTGCTGCTTTGTGCTTCACAGAGACTTGGCTGAGCAACTCGATTGCAGACAGCACGATACAAGTACTGGGCTTCCAGGTGTACAGAGTGGATCGCGTAAAGGAGCTGTCCAGGAAAACGAGAGGAGGTGGAATCTGTTTCTACATAAATGAAGGCTGGTGTACAGATGTCACAGTGCTACTGAGGACATGTAACCCAGACTTGGAGACCCTTCTATTCTCCCCGAGAATTTTTGAGCTTCATACTGGTGGGTGCCTATTTACAGTAAAGCCGCAGGCCAGACTCAAGCCGTCCTCAATCACTCTTCTGTGAGACTGTGCAGGGTTAGCTTGTTGCTATCACTGGCTATAGGAAACCATCCCCAT